TTGCTTTTCTTCTTTTTGGTTGTGTGGACCATGTTTCTTGTGCAACCAGTAGCATCTTAACTTGCTTTTCCATCTTACATCCTATAAAAATGCAAGTCGCTTAACAGAATCGTCAGATCTCTTCACAACTGTATCATGCCATACCTTTTCCCCCTGATTTGTAATCCCCCTTTATACAGTTTAGCCCAGTGCTGTTTAAATGTACCATTGGGTTGCACCAGTTTCTCAAAAACAAATTGAGTGTCTCTTGCGTACGTTTGCACCTTCTCCTGTTCTAGGAGTTCATGCTACCTCGTGTGGGTCCACTCCTTCAGCACAGGCCATGCTGATGTCGCTTGCTTTGATGTCCTGTGCCTGAGGCTTTAGTTTGTTAGCACATCATTAAGATCCATACTGTGTCCCAGCTTGCGTGCTTTTGTTACACAACCTTTCTGTTCTTGTCTTTCCCTCCTGCTTTAGCTGTAGTCTTCAGATAATGAGTTTTTCAGAACACAGACTGCCTTTAGATGTTTGGAAAGCACCTACCCTATTGTAAAGCAGCTTGTAAAGACAGTTAAGTAGCAACTTTGATGTGTGTCTAAATGGAAAGTCATTTAAAGAATATTTATTCTCTATTTAGGTGTATCTTAATGCAGTTTAACATCTGGGGACGGAAGAGTCCACACTTAATCTGATCCAAAGCTTATTGTGAAGTTGAAGGGCAGGTTCCCATTGACTTCAAAGGGCTTTGGATCAGCAAGATCTTAGCAAACTATCAGTAAATATTCCATGACCCTCCTGAAATAAATTGACTAGAATTTAAGCTCCTAAATAACTTCATTACCTCTGAGGGTTTTAACTGACTTCGTTTAAGCTCAGGAGAATCACACAGCATACGTGAGTCGTACTGAGAGACTGTAAGCGTTCCTTTTCTGCTTTAAAGACATTGAGCGGCTGGGGGCTGGGGGGTGGATGTCTTTTGAGAATGTTAGCTATTGACTCCTGGTGAAGCTGCATGCACAATCTAGATGAGCTATTACTGTGGAACCAAAATGCTCCAGGGTGTCGAGTGCGTACCCAAGGTGTTGTGGACATCTGCTTTTCCTAAATGTAAAGTCCTCTGCTGCGAGTTTTACAGGAAAGATGAATTTGATATGCAGAAAGAGCACTGGAACCCACTTGTTTAAATTATCTGGTTAAGATCAGATTTTAAAATTGTGGTTTATTTTCCAAACTGTATTGTAGAGATTGTTTTTAATGACATTGAAAGCAAAGTGGGAGTCTGAGGCTATCGAGCTTAATTGTGAATTAATGACAAGGAATGTTGGAAACTCCTTTTTCTGCAGACTTTAAGGAGAAAAATGTCTATTAAGTTAAATTTAGCAAAGTCTTTGAGGATTCCATTGTTTTACTTCTAAGGACATCCAAATTTTCAGGGTTAGATTGAAGATCATTCGTAAGAAGCAGCAGTCTCCTTAATATGTTGTTGCTTCCTTCATTTCATATCAGTATATGATATGAAGAAGCTGATATGAAGATTGAAGAAGTAGCTCTTTGCCAGCTTTTCTGGGCTGTATCAGAGAGTAGCTTGTCCTTCTGCCTACAAAAGAATAGGATTTCTGTTAATTATGTTCAACTGTGTGCATCTGTCTGCCGTGACACTTAAAATAGTTGGGCTGGATACAGCTTGTTCAGAGTAGATTTAATGTACTTCTTAAGTTATATATTAGTAATCAAGTAACTCTGTTTTGGTTTTTATATTAGATTTACTGTTTCACAGAGAAGAAAAGTACACATCTCTTATGAATTTGATGAAAATAAATATCAAACAATTTCCCTTTTTTTCTTTTTTTTTTAAACTGCATTAAAACTGACTTTCTCTGAAATTCTTGCCATTTCAGAGAGCCGGTACTACCTTTGGTTTCTGCTCAACTGTATTTTTGAAGCTCTGCTCAGTGAGACCTTGTCTCTATATTGATTGTCTCAATAATTACCAGATGTGTGCCACTTCAACCAGAAGTGAGAGTAGAGGAATTTAGAGGTTCAGACATTTCCAAGTGCTAGTTACTGGTCACTCCTTCTGCTTGCCTTCAGTTTTTATTTGTATATATATCCTTTACATATTTGATTAGCAAAACTCATGATGCTTTAGGGGAGAAAACTTGCTTTCCTATCTGAACTTTTTTTTTCTTGTTAAAAAATCTCATTGATATTTGCATAGAAGGAAGGATTCACTTACACGTAGATTCCCCTTTCTGATTTCTTTTTACTGCTTAATTTTTTTCAAAATCAAGCTCTGAACTTGGCAAGAATCTTAGTAAAAATAGTGCTTCAGCACCCCATGAAATCCTCTCTTAACGGAAGTTTGGTACGCATAGATAACAAAACGTTAACTTTTATTTAAGCTTGATATTTAGAAGATCTCTTGGATTCTGTAATCCATGTGTCTGTTAATTTTTATGTAATATTTTTCAGTAGTAGAGATTTTTGATAAAAAGTGTATAGACTTAAGTATTTGCAGGATTAAAAGCTAGAAGCAGTCCCTTTCTCTATAAAGGCAACTTTATTTTCAGTAACAGTCCAAGTGGAAAATTGGGAAGAAACTGTTGTGCAGTCAGGTAGCTCTAGGGCATTATTACATACATGAAAATTTGTATATCCTTTTTGAGAACAATATACGTAGGAAGATGGAGGCTAGTAGGAGAATTGAGTAAATCCACATATAAAGGGTATGTCCCTTCACATTAAAAAAAGGGGGGGTGGAGGGGGAAGAAAGATTTGAAGAGCTATAGAGGCCATTGTTTTGCAAAAGTTAAAATAAACCCAGAAATAACAGTTTCAGATGACTTCTTTAAAGCAGGTCCTGAACAGGAAAAGTGAATGTTCCTGTTGGAGCATTCTCTGAATTCACTTTCTTAACAATAAGAATATCCTGCTTTGGAGAGAGAGAGTGAGATTAATCATGCTAAGGTGTGGCTTTATCGCACACGCAGAACTGGATTAAGGAAAAGGGGCGTTTTTGAAACTGCTGACAGAACTGCATCTCCACAACTTTTATTTCTTTTCCCACGTATCTGTACCCAGTGCCTGACTATTTCTGCCCGTGCTAGCTGTGGTTGTTCTAAGATCCTGTTTTACAATCTGTCTCTTTGCCCTCGGACACAGTTCCTTCTTTGCCAGTGATTATACTGCTTGTCTCATGCTCTTGCGGTCAGGTCCCAAAGGTCTTCATTTATCCATCTTTATGTGTTACTTACCATAATGTGCCATCTAGTCATGTGGTCGTTTAGTCCATGACTCTGTTCTCCTGCCACCACCAGCTGCTTCCAACTTGTTCCGAGTTGTTCTGCTTTCTGTTATGTAGCATCTAAACAGAGTAAGCTACGTAATTGAAAAGCGGATACTTAAAGGGATATTGTCAATATAAAAGTAATCATATTCCTAATTTGTTATTAAACGTAGGCAATTAGCGTTGTACTTCTTACATTCCTCTGTTTGGAGGAGGACATCAAGGAAACAGTTGATTTTCTTATTTTGTATGTGAATTCTGCGTTTTGCAGTGTAAAGAAGCTGATAGAGCTGGGAAAATACATACTAACAGCTCAGGATTAAAACTACGCTGTGCTTGGGTATTTGACACTGCCCGTGTTGCTCTTTGGGGCCATGAGCAGATGAACAAGTTATTGTGCAATGACATCTAAGGTGAATTGTGCATATGGTGTAATGAAGGACAGAAGAACGCTTGTTGTCATGTAAGTGCAAACACAGGGCGCCCTGCAAGGTTCACGTGCCAGCTTATACTTGTGGCAGTATGTGTATCTCCCTGTTCTTTTGTTATTAGTACCTTTTTGTTTGCTTACCGCTTCCCACAGAGGAAGCACCTCCTGCCTTGTTCCCAGTTTAGACTCACTCCCTGACTGAAGAGAAGTGTCTATTCTGGCTATAGTTATCAGGCCCTAGCTTATCTAGTTCCCTGGATGGGATTGGGTTTGGGAATTGCTTTTGTGTTTAAGGCTTTCAGTCTTGAACCCTTCCTCCTTTTGTGAAAAGGGCAAAGCATAGAGAAACTCTATGCAACTTTTCATTATTAAACAAAAGAGCTGAAAGAGGGCAAAGATTCCAGCATCCTCCTCCTCAGTGAGTTTGGCAAAAGAGCCTGCAGGAGGTTTGCAGTAGCGTATGCAGGGCGGGTGCAGTGAAGGAGGGAAGAGACTGAACTCTCATCGAGTTTGCAGATGGCTGCTATTTTTCATTGGTGGATTATAAAATTACAGAGTGATCCAATTAGCCTTGCAAAATTGCATGTACACCTCTCAAGGCATTTATTTCAAGGAATTCTAGGCCAAACTTTAGCAGTAAAATTTGCTCCCTAGTCTGTTTTTGTTTTTACTGCCCTGATACTGCATTGTATTCCTGTAATACATAGTAGTAAACATAATTTAAAATCAGATCCACTTTGTAATAATTCATCCAACAACATGGTATATTATCTAAAAAAAAAACTCATAAAAAAACAGATAGTTTTATACAAAGTAACCTTCTATGCAAAGTTTCTGATTTATATGAAAATAAGGATGATAATTTAGCTAGGTGTTTATAATTTTCTGTGGAAAGTTAATAGTGAAGATATATTTGAAACTAATTTTGTGCATCTCTCTCTATAGTTAATTTTAAATAAAAGTTGTAACTATCCTAATTTTTAAAGGTATTAACAGATTTATTTGTATCTTTTGAAGATACTTGTAGTACAATTTTTTTTTTTCAGTATAGACTTCTTGATACAATGTTTCATTAGGCAGTACATTAGTCATGGTGATTTTGACAGTCTCTTTGTATCATTCTTTGAATTTGACAGCATATATTTTTCTTTAGTCCAGTAGAACGAGCTTTGCTTATTTTAAGGATCACTTACATATTGACTAAACTTCCTGTAAGTCTTCCTGCATTTTTATGTGAGTTAATTTAGTTTTCTGATGAACTCATTTTTTGTTCTTACTTTTTGTGTTTTTAATTTTTTTCAGGCTTCCTTAAGCCAGACTTAATATTGATAGAATGAAAAAGTTTAAGAGGAGACTTTCCTTAACCTTGCGGGGAAGCCAGACTATTGATGAATCGCTGTCTGAGCTAGCAGAACAAATGACAATTGAAGAGAACAGCAGCAAAGATAATGGTAAGCATATCTTTCAATTTCTCAGAAATCTAAAAATGTTATTAGGCCCTGCTCGAGTGAGTGAGTTTTGGGGGTTTTTGTTTCGTTTTCCTTTACAGTTCATTTTTTCTAATTGCAGCTAGAAACATCCAGGGTAACTAGCATGTCTTGTGTATTCTCATCAAGTCCTTGGCTGATCCCACAAGCATACTGGCTACTGTAAAGTCCACATTAGTGATAATACTGCTTCTGAATGCAAGCTGCAGTAGTAGTGGCTAGAAGAGATTTTTTTGCTTTGTTCTGTTTCCTGGACTTCTACATTTGAGTCATTTTTCATCTGTTGAGCTGACAGGTGTTTTTTCTTGCTCTGCTGACACCTAGGATTTTCTCAAGTATCAAGTGGTCTGATTTTTTTGTTAGCTTCACAGCGATAAATGATTCTCAGTAGTCCCGTTGAAAAATGACAGGACTGGGAAATATGAACAGCAGCAGAGGCAATGGAATTTGCCCTGCAGACTTTTAAACCTCATCCAAGATGTGTTGCATACCAGGCTTTGGAAAGCTGAATTTATCCTTGGCTAAACAAAACTATTCATATTTTTCATTTTTACCCGTAATCTCTGGTTTGTTCATCACTGTTCTCTTGTCTTCATCAAAGGGTCATGCCAAATAACTTAGAAAATGATGGTTTCTACAAACCAAGTCTTTGTGTTTTTACACAACAGATTTACTCTGACACAATAAATATAGTATTTTTGCACTAATATCTATAGAGTATTTTCTGAGACTTTATGACTAGTTGTCCCACGTGGTCTCACTTGTATTAGTTTTTGTTACTAATGCATTTTTTCCTCAGACCTTTATATACATCTGACATTGATTTCATTATTATGCACGTAAAGTGTTCAGAATTTTACTGGAAATGAGTGTCAAAAATCATCACCAGCATGAGTGAACATAGTGAACTGGAGATCACTGAATTGATTCAGTTGAAAAGTGGATCCAGGAAAAATAAAAAGGATTATTTTAACTTGGTTCACATCCTGGATGCCAGCTCCAGGGAGAGAGGACGCAGCAACTGGTTTGTGGGAGTGTGAGCTTATGCCATCTTAAACAGTGTGTGAAGCCTTTCTCAGGTTATAATAGTTATCTGAGAATTATCTCAACCAGCAATAATTAAAGGTCTTCCGCATGCTTATCACCAAAGCTGGACAAACTTGATTTATCCTTAGATATTTAAAATGATAACAATACAATTTGAGAAAATGTTTCTAATTACAAATTAATTATTTAGTTTTTACTGCTTTTCCATTTTGCTTTCCATGTTATTCCACGGGTGAAAATGAGGCTTATGTGCTGATACTGTGTGATACAATATGTATTATGCTTGCAACTGCAAAATGTTGTGAATGCTTTAATAGAATACCTTGATTTGGATACATTATTGAATTGTTGCTGATCCTCTTCAAAGAGGGCGGATGGTAAATATAAAGTATACTGTTCCTATGAGTAGTCTTTAACTCTTTGTTTTCCATGATTAAAAAAGCTTTACTGCCATTTGCTTCCTTCTGTGATACTGTTAGAATGCTGATATAGTATTAGTCTTATCTGTGATCTTGCAGAGATGAATAAGACAATGCTTGGGGATGTGTGTTTTCCTTTGAGAACTCTTAGAAAGTAGGGTTGGAAAACTGCTTACTGTTACCAGCTAGTCCTGCTTTTCTAAAGGGAGGTCTGACATTCCCACAGATGAAGATATTTTGGAAGGAGAAGATTCCAGACAGACCTTAGGGATCAGAGTGTGGACAACAGCAATTGCTGGGAAAACCGAATGGGAAATGAGTTCTCTCTTGTGGTGAAAGTCAAATTAGAGAACATAGCCTGGAAAAAAACCCTTCAGTGGATGTTATAAAAAGGAATTATGAGAAAGATTTGTCTCTGGTCTTATAAAATGAGAGTGTAGATAAGCCTGTACTAGCTGTGACTATCAGAGACGTGAGCAGATAAAATCCCTTAAAGGAGTATCCTATAAAACCATAGGCATATTAAGACCTTGTAAATGCATCTTTCACTGTGATAGTACTTATCTCAGAAGGCTGGAGTAATCAATCTCCTAGTTTTTGCTTTTGAGAAGAATAAATAGCTCCTTTACCCTGTGGAACACTGAGACACAAATGTGCCCATTTTGCAGTCTTTGGATCTGCTCATAAGGGAACTTGGAAAGCACAGTTAGTTTAAAAAAAAAAAAAAAGGGGGAGGGGGACAAGTCATAATGACAGAGAATTGAAGTCAGAGTTGTGAACAGTCTTCACAAAGTAAGTCTTCATGTGTTGTCTATCTTCACCCTGATTATGACATGGAATTCAAAACTAAGAGAGGATTGAAAGGAATTGCAATCACTCTTGGCACACCAAACAGGACGGGTAGACCCTGAATACTGCAGACATTTACAACATATTTTGTTTCACAGCAGCTTTATTCCATTCAGAGTTGATGCCGTATCTGTGTATATCTGAAAGGTAATTTCAGAAGGAGAGAACAGAAATTAGTTTATGCAGAAAAAAATAGGTTATGATTGGTTGAACATAGTCTGTTTACATAGTGCTAGGTTTTATTTCGATTTAAAACTTGAGACTTTAATTGTTGCAGTCCTGTATCCCTGCTAAAAATATGGTGCAGCAAGCTCCAGTGTGAATAGAGCCATAGTTACAGATAAGTTATTGTTGAAAATCTGGCAGGATGTGATTAACTTTTCCTTTACGACAGGCAAGAATGTCAGATTGCAGAATGAGGTCTTTCCAACAGCTATGTATGCTAGAGGTGTGTATTTCAAAAATCTAACTAAAAATGCTTCCATACTAGCCTAAGAAGCAAGTCAAAAGACCTGAGAGGTACTGGATTTAACAGTTAAGGGACTTACCTGGTGGAATAACTTATTTTTGCCTTGTTTTTATTTTTGTTCTAGAGATGTCACCCATCTTGTCTCCTGTCTATTCTATTCTGATAGCCATGTTCACTAAAAGACAAAAGTTTATACTAACTAGCCTTTCCTTCCTGAAAATGTCATTTTACAGGAACTTAGAGGTCATAGAGCCTACGTTGATAGAAATCCTGGTCTATGCTGACCTAGCATAAACACTCATTTCTACCTCGTTTTCACATACATAGCCTTTAAAATCTTGCTTAAAAAGTGAACTGGAGTTCAGCACTGTGATTCTAGGCATAGATCATATGTGCGTACATAAAGTACCAGGGACCTTTCCTCATGCCCATCCTTTGTCAATAACATGTCTTGTTCTGGCCCCCAGCAACTGGTTTCCTCTCCCAGATCAATTGCCTGTGATTTCACGTAGCCCTTGCACTTATTCTTAGACCAAACTTGTCATTAGGTCCAACATTTGGACCGTAGGTTGTTTGAAGACTTACTTTTAAAGAACAGTATTCTTAAAGGAGAACAAATTATCCTATAAGTGGTTCACAGGCATAAAAATAGATAGGTAACTTTTCTTCACAGTGCATTGATGCTACTGAATTAGCTGCTCTTTTGTATGCGCTCTCCTTTCACATATAGCCTCCTTCATCGTGTTATGTCAGTACAATTTCAACATACAGCACTTACTGATCAGCAGCAAAATGGGATTAAGAGGGATCAGCCTGTATTGTTCAAAGGCAGTAGCTCACAGCTATATCCACTGAGTGTAGAATAATCGACAGAACCTTTTGCTACACCATCAAATTACTTTTTGACCAGAAACCTATATATGATTACATCTGCCTTACAAATTACTTCATAACTGGCTTCTTGGTGAGGAAACATCACATAATTAGATGCATTAAAGTATAAAAACAAAGGGACCAACAAAATGCCAATGAACCTTTGAAGTCCTGTGAACTGTACAATGTATACTTTGGGGTATTCTTTTTTCAAGTACAGAAGCTCTCATGCTCTCCAAGGTTTCAACATATAAAACCAATTAGTTGGATTTCTTATTTACTTTTAATTCTGTCCTGAGTCAAGCATGATAATGACGCACTGAGTTGTTCTTTTAATTCCAGGTTTTACTGTAATGTATGTATTCAGATTAATATTAAAAATACTAAATGGCAGTTTGTAGCAGTTGACAACTAAATCTGCTCCTGAAATTTTTTCTTGCCACTGACACACTAATGAAATTTGGCTAGAAGTAACATCCAAATCATGCATATTTAAGTCCAATTAACTGTCAAATGTATGCAGATACTTTGAATACTTATGAATATGCTCTCTAGTGAAAGTGAGAAACAGGGCTGTATTGCCTAATATTCTAAAATACATTACCATAAGCTCCAAGTATGCTTTTAAGAATAATTACAAGATATGTTCATAAATACATCCACAGCTCTTGCATCAATATAGAAGTAACAATTCAGCAGG